CCGCTTATGCTAATGAAGCCCGGGAAATTCAAATCCCGGGCTTCATTAGCAAGTGCGGTATGCATACATTACCCTCCTAGTTCGAACTAGGAGGGTAGTGTAGACATACCCTTAGAGCTAAATAATAATAATAAAAAAAACACCTAGAGCTAGGACTGGTGGCTATAAGCAAACTTTATGGGTCTGCAGGAAACCTGGCTACACCTATAAGTGGACATCCAGCTAACTAAAATCATTTCAGATGATGGCTGTTTCCAGATCAGAGTTCAGGACTAGACAGGTTCAACTTGTACTTAATATTCTTGAAAAAGCGCAGAATGGAGCTCTGTAATGCCTTTTTTTCCCCCTTTTCATCAGTATACTTCCTGTTGCACAGCTGGTAGAAGAAAGGGAAGTCATGCATGGCATAGTATGGAATTAGATATAATTAATTAAAAGTTTGCACATAGGTAAAGACAAATATTATCACTCCAATTCCCAGATTCCGCCTCGCTTCCTTCCGTGTAGGATCTAAGGAGAGGGAAGCAGCAGTGGCATTATGCCACCTTTCCCTCCCACCTCCTCCTCCTGGTGCTGGTAGAGAGCTGTTTCAGTAACACTCAAAAATCAGAGCAGCCTCAGGCCTCTTAACTTACTCTCACAGCTGCTTTTGCCCCCAAGCAAACATTCCAGAGGCTGAGAATACTAAGAACATTTGGACTAAACTGGGAGGTTGGCAGCTTAGACCTCGATATTACTTCTCTACAAGTGCACTCCTGCATAGGGATTAGTCAGAATCAAGTCCTGTGAGGTGACACAGAAATTATAAGATTCCTTTTTGACCCTGCATATTTTCTGATCATTATGTTGAGTGAAATACATGAAAATTCAAACCAGCTTGTAACCTATTCACAGCACCAGCTCTTGTGAAATATGATACATGAATTTGGGGAGAGAGGAAAATGGATATTAATGGGAGTTTGGGATATTCCACTCCTATCCCCCCCAGTAATGTCATGGTTGAGAAAGCAAATAAATTGGCATTGTTATGATGTCAGCTTATGAAGTGATATAACTGTCTCTTAGCCACAAAGGTCAGGGATACAACTGCATGCTCAGAGCAGCCCTCAATCTTTGACTGCCAGAAAGGTAACAGAGGAAGGGGGAGGGTCGTTCTATAATTGCCTTGTTCTGTGCACTCCCACTGAAGCTTTTGTGCGGATCACTATTACTGACAGGATACTGGGTAAAATGGACCATTGTCTGACCCAATATGGCAACTCTTATGTTATGTCAGGATTTCCTTGGAATTCTGTGGAATTTCATTAATGGTCTAGCACTATCTCAGAAGAAGAGCTGCTACTTCAACTGAATTTAATGAAGAGTTGAATCAATCAGGCAAATGCCAATAAGTTTTGTTGACCAGGACCCATTACTACAAAAGAACTCTAGGCAATAGCTTATTGCACTTTTTTCCTCTATGTAGCTTGGCTGGAAACATGGTTAAGGGGGTGTGACGGCGCGTTGGGGGTTCCCCGTCTCCTGCACCCTGAAATGGCACAAACAGACTGCACCAGCCAGTGGAATTGAGGGTGGTTTATTGCTCCTCCAGCACAGCGCAGCACAGATGTAGTCTGGTTACAGGAACTGGGCTAGGATGCCTCAGGCCCCCTTGAGATGGGGGAGACTGGGCCCCTAAACTCCAGCCTCCTCTCCCTAGGCTGTCTCATCCATCCTCACAGACAGCCACCAACCAACTAACCCACTTCCAGCCCTGCCCCCCAGCCAGGGCCGCATTCACCTTCCTTTGTTCCTCTCCATGGGGGGTGTCTGGCCACTGGTTCAACCAGTTTGGCCTTACCTCTGCCTAGTGAGGTTTTCCCTGCTGGGTCTTGCTCCAGACAGCAGAGGTCACCACAGCCCAGCAAGTACCCCCACTACGTCACACTGAGGAACTGTCCTGGATTGAGGTGTCATTAGAGGAGGTTTTTAACAAATAGAAAAACGCAGGAGTAAC